AAAAAAAAAAAAAAGTTACATAAAAAAACAGTTTATTCAACATAACTACCCGTTGATGCATCATGTATTTGTTATGCAAGTTAAAAAATAGCGAGTTTTATAAGAATAGGGCCTACCTTAATAGTATATAGATATCATATAACATTAAATATAAGATGAGCATTTAATATAAAATTAATTAAGCAATTTACAATTATATTTAAATTAAATATTTCTTTCTTCTTATCTTTCAAACGTCATATTCTTCCCTCACTTAAGATTACTAATAAATAACTATTATTATTATTATTTATAATCTAAACAATACTACCGTGCATCACGTGTTCTGCAGCCCGACATATGACCTTTTTTTTTTTTGTTTTTGTTTTTATTTTTTTTCTCTCTAGATGTTAACTTTTTATTTTCGTAGTTATCCTCATTCATCTCTTACATATACAAACTAAAAAATCGTGAGAAACTGTCGGCATCTCTTTCAACCTAAACAGAATTAATCCTAACTACCTAGTATGCAACCAATTATTAACTACTCGAGTTCATCACAAAATCGAACATTTTCAGCGCGACTACCGCCCCACAGCCAGTTAAGAGTATAGTCAAAACATAAAATGAACCACCTACGTAGATTAGTCAAAGATAAGTGGAGCAGTTTAAGTTCTTCCTTTCAAATTGATGTATATTGGCGTAAAATACTAGTGAGTATAATATACTATCATTTTTAATAACTGAATTTAAAAAGGCAGAATACCCAAATTCATCGCCAAAGTATAGTGGTAGGGATAAATTCACCCTTGAACAAAAAAGGGAACAAATCCACCTACAAAGTTTTCGACTTGGACAAATCATTTCAAATTTAACGTGTGATGCCATTTAATATCAACAATATGTTAATTTGACATCATTTAATATCAGCAATCCGTTAATGAATTGCTGATGGTAGATGATGTCACACGTTAAATTTGGAGTGATTTATTCAAGTCGAAAATTTTGTGGGTGAATTTGTCCCCATTTTTTGTTTAGAGGTGGATCCGTCCCTATCGCTATACTTTAGGAGTGGATTTGGATATTTTACCATTTAAAAATGACTCATGGCTAGTAATTTAAATAGTAAGATTTAATAATAATATATTATATAATAATACAAAAAAGTTATTTTCGAGTCAACTGTAGTGAAAAAAAATATAAAACTATCAGTGAAATTATTTAAATACCCTAAATGAATTATCTTATAAGTTGATTTATTAATAATATTTACATCATTTTAAAAACATTCCTACACTTTTTTTGTTTTCATAGATCAGCTTGAAAATTAACATAAGTTAATTATATGTCTTAAACCATAAAATTTAAAAATCAACTTCTAATAATTTTATATGAAAGTTACAAATGTATATAAGTTGGTCAAGGATAAGTTGAACCGGTGAAGAGACAAAGTCCTATTTTCAAGTTTAATTGCAAGATTAGTTTAACTTTTCGGTCAGCTAATGGTCCCCCAACCCTAGGGATTTCTAGATAGATATATAAGACAAATATGGGATATAAAATTTGAACCATGCATGCCAGAGAATTAATTCCGTTAGAAAATTAGAACTATTTTATAAATACCAATCAAAGTTGCATAATCATCTCCTAATTATATATCTTCCTTAAGTTTGAAAACATGCAAATGTGACTATTATGTGAGCTCAAAACATAAATCAATACACTAAAAATGCCATAATTAATCATGACTCTAAATCTTTCAATTCATATATATGACTAAGCAGAATCAAATCCTAACTACCAGTATATACTAATGGTTAACAACTCGAGATTATGAAATTAAACATTGTCCGTGTGAGGCAGCGTGGATGCCAGCAGTTAGGAGAGGTTGATCAATCTATCTCTAATTACATCATCATTATATATATATAT